AAAACGTCGAGGAAGCCCATCGCCCTGCACGTCCTAGTCGACTCCACATCCAACGTGTGCAGCCACACGTAAGCGACTCGAAGTGGAAGGCTAAGACAGCCAACACCAGGGCTCACCGAGCCACTCGAGTCGCAGCTCGTCCCACGCCAACTTCTGCTTCAACACACCCCGTCCAGCCCAACAAGAACATGGCGTCCAGGCTGTTCAACTATCTCAAAGACGCCACGTATCTCAGATACGAGCCGAGTCGAATGAGCGACGTAGCCAAGCAAATGCGGCACCCCTCAGCTCCAGTGGATATGAAAAGCGATGGCTTCTCCGTCAGTGGCAGAGGTCTACGGGATGCAAAGCGGGCTCTACGAAGCCGACTTTGGGAACGCATCTCGGTGTATACCACGAAAATGCATGCTGGTTGCGCGAGCGTCATGCCACGTGACCAGACCGTAGGTTTTATCGACTTCATGAGGAGACAGGCCAATGTGGTGACGTGTTCCGTCAAATCGAAAGATCACCTTACTTGAACATGTCAGAGACCGATGGTGGACTGTTTCTATAGTTTAATTTAATTTGTTTTTACAACGACGGGAAAGTGCAGCGAATTATTGGATGGGGCCACCCTGCCTTAATCCGACTACTCAAGTGTAGAGGCGTGTAACTGTTTATTGACGCTTTCGATAGCATCACACCAGTTTCGTTTAAGCAGACGCTGACCGCCATGGGGCATGACTCAACGTACGTCGTGTACTAACCGATACTATACGTTCTTCTTGAGGACAAGGATGACATGAGATGACATACAAATCGGTTTTACACCGTATTAAGATGCGGACTGAAATTAAAATGGCTCCTGGAAGCGTGACTGGCGACTTTGAACCTGCTCTGATAAGCGCAATATGCGATTAATTGCAAGGTGCTCGAGTGATTGGCTGTTTATTTCAATGGAAACAAGTCATTCGTCGAAAGTTGATAGATGTACGAATTCCAGCAAAACAGATCAAGGCGGCAATGATGCCTGGTGTAATTGATGTACTTACCGTTGTACCAATTGAAGACATTCGGAAAAAGGATTTCATTGGTCACGTCATTGATAACGTCAGTCGACCAACAGAATGAATGAGAAACAATCAGGCTCTATTTTCTGCAAGTTTGATATAAACCGTTCGACCCGGAACATGGAAGTGTGGACGCGTACATTGACAGCTGTGTTTACCTGCCGAATAGAGCGAACAACCTTATTGAAAGCTACAATTGTTATCCAAACGTCCACATTGGAGATTCCACCCCGAGGCTTTTGGTGCTGTTTCGTAGTTGAAACAGGAGCCTGCTAGATATTGCAGATGTGCGATGACATATCATGGAAAGACGTCTCGCACCGTTCCATTACATAAAGTGACGCGTCAGTAACAGGTGGACATATCTCCATTTTAAGAGAATCGTGGGTACAAAACAGCAGAAAAAGCGGCTCCCAAAAACAGGGCACAAATCGGATGGCGAAAATATTCTTCTGGAAAAGAACAATGGCTGCTCCGGAGGTGGGCGGCGGGCAACAGAGTGATCAATTAAAATATACAGAATGTTCGCTACGCGTTGAATTTTAGGCTCACAAACTCTAACAAAAGCGTCGAGGAAAGCACATCGCCCTGCACTTCCTAAGTCGACTCCACATCCAAGCGTGTGCAGCCACGCGTAAGCGAACTCGAAGTGGAAGGCTAAGACAGCCAACACCAAGGCTCACCGAGCCACTCGAGTCGCAGCTCGTCCCACGCCAACTTTCTGTTTTCAACACCCCGCGTTTCCAGCCAACCAGAACAGTGGCATCCAGGCTGTTCAACTATCTCAAAGACGCCACGTATCTCAGATACGAGCCGAGTCAAAGGCGCGACGTAGCCAAGCAAGTGCGGCACTCCTCAGCTCCGGTGGATATGAAAAGCGATGGCTTCTCCGTCAGTGGCAGAGGTCTACGGGATGCAAAGCGGGCTCTACGAAGCCGACTTTGGGAATGCATCTCGGTGTATACCACGAAAATGCATGCTGGTTGCGCGAGCGTCATGCCACGTGACCAGACCGTAGGTTTTATCGACTACATGAGGAGACAGGCCAATGGGGTGACGTGTTCCGTCAAATCGAAAGATCACCTTACTTGAACATATCAGAGACCGATGGTGGACTGTTTCTATAGTTTAATTTAATTTGTTTTTACAACGACGGGAAAGTGCAACGAATTATTGGATGGGGCCACCCTGCCTTAATCCGACTACTCAAGTGTAGAGGCGTGTAACTGTTTATTGACGCTTTCGATAGCATCACACCAGTTTCGTTTAAGCAGACGCCGACCGCCATGGGGCATGACTCAACGTACGTCGTGTACTAACCGATACTATACGTTCTTCTTGAGGACAAGAATGACATGAGATGACATACAAATCGGTTTTGCACCGTATTAAGATGCGGACTGAAATTAAAATGGCTCCTGGAAGCGTGACTGGCGACTTTGAACCTGCTCTGATAAGCGCAATATGCGATTAATTGCAAGGTGCTCGAGTGATTGGCTGTTTATTTCAATGGAAACAAGTCATTCGTCGAAAGTTGATAGATGTACGAATTCCAGCAAAACAGATCAAGGCGGCAATGATGCCTGGTGTAATTGATGTACTTACCGTTGTACCAATTGAAGACATTCGGAAAAAGGATTTCATTGGTCACGTCATTGATAACGTCAGTCGACCAACAGAATGAATGAGAAACAATCAGGCTCTATTTTCTGCAAGTTTGATATAAACCGTTCGACCCGGAACATGGAAGTGTGGACGCGTACATTGACAGCTGTGTTTGCCTGCCGAATAGAGCGAAGAACCTTATTGAAAGCTACAATTGTTATCAAACGTCACATTGGAGAATCCCACCCCGAGCTTTTGGTGCTTGTTTCGTAGTTGAAACAGGAGGCTGCTAGATATTTGCAGATGTGCGATGACATATTCATGGAAAGACGTCTCGCACCTGTCCATTCCAATAAAGTGACGCGGTCAGTACATGTGGCATATCCCAATTTTTAAGACCCTGGTACAAACAGCGAAAAACGGCGTCCAGAACAGGGCAAATCGATGCGGAAAATATCTTCCTCGAAAGCAATGCCTCGTCGGAGGTGCGCGGCGACAAAGTGATCAATTAAAATATACAGAATGTTCCGCTACCGTTTGATTTTAGCTCCAAACTCTACAAAACGTCGAGGAAGCCCATCGCCCTGCACTTCCTAGTCGACTCCACATCCAACGTGTGCAGCCACACGTAAGCGACTGGAAGTGGAAGGCTAAGACAGCCAACACCAAGGCTCACCGAGCCACTCGAGTCGCAGCTCGTCCCACGCCAACTTCTGCTTCAACACCCCCGTCCAGCCCAACAAGAACATGGCGTCCAGGCTGTTCAACTATCTCAAAGACGCCACGTATCTCAGATATGCGCCGAGTCGAATGAGCGACGTAGCCAAGCAAGTGCGGCACCCCTCAGCTCCGGTGGATATGAAAAGCGATGGCTTCTCCGTCAGTGGCAGAGGTCTACGGGATGCAAAGCGGGCTCTACGAAGCCGACTTTGGGAACGCATCTCGGTGTATACCACGAAAACGCATGCCGGTTGCGCGGTGAGCGTCATGCCACGTGACCCGACCGTTAATTTTATCGACTACATGAGGAGACAGGCCAATGGGGTGACGTGTTCCGTCAAATCGAAAGATCACCTTACTTGAACATGTCAGAGACCGATGGTCGACTGTTTCTATAGTTTAATTTAATTTGTTTTTACAACGACGGGAAAGTGCAACGAATTATTGGATGGGGCCACCCTGCCTTAATCCGACTACTCAAGTGTAGAGGCGTGTAACTGTTTATTGACGCTTTCGATAGCATCACACCAGTTTCGTTTAAGCAGACGCCGACCGCCATGGGGCATGACTCAACGTACGTCGTGTACTAACCGATACTATACGTTCTTCTTGAGGACAAGGATGACATGAGATGACATACAAATCGGTTTTACACCGTATTAAGATGCGGACTGAAATTAAAATGGCTCCTGGAAGCGTGACTGGCGACTTTGAACCTGCTCTGATAAGCGCAATATGCGATTAATTGCAAGGTGCTCGAGTGATTGGCTGTTTATTTCAATGGAAACAAGTCATTCGTCGAAAGTTGATAGATGTACGAATTCCAGCAAAACAGATCAAGGCGGCAATGATGCCTGGTGTAATTGATGTACTTACCGTTGTACCAATTGAAGACATTCGGAAAAAGGATTTCATTGGTCACGTCATTGATAACGTCAGTCGACCAACAGAATGAATGAGAAACAATCAGGCTCTATTTTCTGCAAGTTTGATATAAACCGTTCGACCCGGAACATGGAAGTGTGGACGCGTACATTGACAGCGGTGTTTGCCTGCCGAATAGAGCGAACAACCTTATTGAAAGCTACAATTGTTATCAAACGTCACATTGGAGAATCCCACCCCGAGCTTTTGGTGCTTGTTTCGTAGTTGAAACAGGAGGCTGCTAGATATTTGCAGATGTGCGATGACATATTCATGGAAAGACGTCTCGCACCTGCCCATTCCAATAGAGTGACGCGGTCAGTACATGTGGCATATCTCAATTTTAAGATCCTGGGACAAACAGCGAAAAACGGCGTCCAGAACAGGGCAAACCGATGCGGAAAATATCTTCCTCGAAAGCAATGCCTCGTCGGAGGTGCGCGGCGACAGAGTGATCAATTAAAATATCCAGAATGTTCCGCTACCGTTTGATTTTAGCTCCAAACTCTACAAAACGTCGAGGAAGCCCATCGCCCTGCACTTCCTAGTCGACTCCACATCCAACGTGTGCAGCCACACGTAAGCGACTGGAAGTGGAAGGCTAAGACAGCCAACACCAAGGCTCACCGAGCCACTCGAGTCGCAGCTCGTCCCACGCCAACTTCTGCTTCAACACACCCCGTCTAGCCCAACAAGAACATGGCCTCCAGGCTGTTCAACTATCTCAAAGACGCCACGTATCTCAGATACGAGCCGAGTCGAAGGCGCGACGTAGCCAAGCAAGTGCGGCACCCCTCAGCTCCGGTGGATATGAAAAGCGATGGCTTCTCCGTCAGTGGCAGAGATCTACGGGATGCAAAGCGGGCTCTACGAAGCCGACTTTGGGAACGCATCTCGGTGTATACCACGAAAACGCATGCTGGTTGCGCGAGCGTCATGCCACGTGACCAGACCGGTAATTTTATCGACTTCATGAGGAGACAGGCCAATGGGGTGACGTGTTCCGTCAAATCGAAAGATCACCTTACTTGAACATATCAGAGACCGATGGTGGACTGTTTCTATAGTTTAATTTAATTTGTTTTTACAACGACGGGAAAGTGCAACGAATTATTGGATGGGGCCACCCTGCCTTAATCCGACTACTCAAGTGTAGAGGCGTGTAACTGTTTATTGACGCTTTCGATAGCATCACACCAGTTTCGTTTAAGCAGACGCTGACCGCCATGGGGCATGACTCAACGTACGTCGTGTACTAACCGATACTATACGTTCTTCTTGAGGACAAGGATGACATGAGATGACATACAAATCGGTTTTACACCGTATTAAGATGCGGACTGAAATTAAAATGGCTCCTGGAAGCGTGACTGGCGACTTTGAACCTGCTCTGATAAGCGCAATATGCGATTAATTGCAAGGTGCTCGAGTGATTGGCTGTTTATTTTAATGGAAACAAGTCATTCGTCGAAAGTTGATAGATGTACGAATTCCAGCAAAACAGATCAAGGCGGCAATGATGCCTGGTGTAATTGATGTACTTACCGTTGTACCAATTGAAGACATTCGGAAAAAGGATTTCATTGGTCACGTCATTGATAACGTCAGTCGACCAACAGAATGAATGAGAAACAATCAGGCTCTATTTTCTGCAAGTTTGATATAAACCGTTCGACCCGGAACATGGAAGTGTGGACGCGTACATTGACAGCTGTGTTTACCTGCCGAATAGAGCGAACAACCTTATTGAAAGCTACAATTGTTATCAAACGTCACATTGGAGAATCCCACCCCGAGCTTTTGGTGCTTGTTTCGTAGTTGAAACAGGAGGCTGCTAGATATTTGCAGATGTGCGATGACATATTCATGGAAAGACGTCTCGCACCTGCCCATTCCAATAGAGTGACGCGGTCAGTACATGTGGCATATCTCAATTTTAAAGATCCTGGTACAAACAGCGAAAAACGGCGTCCAAAACAGGGCAAACCGATGCGGAAAATATCTTCCTCGAAAGCAATGCCTCGTCGGAGGTGCGCTGCGACAAAGTGAATAATTATAATATACAGAATGTTCCGCTACCGTTTGCTTTTAGCTCCAAACTCTACAAAACGTCGAGGAAGCCCATCGCCCTGCACTTCCTAGTCGACTCCACATCCAACGTGTGCAGCCACACGTAAGAGACTCGAAGTGGAAGGCTAAGACAGCCAGCACCAAGGCTCACCGAGCCACTCGAGTCGCAGCTCGTCCCACGCCAACTTCTGCTTCAACACCCCCCGTCCAGCCCAACAAGAACATGGCATCCAGGCTGTTCAACTATCTCAAAGACGCCACGTATCTCAGATACGAGCCGAGTCAAAGGCGCGACGTAGCCAAGCAAGTGCGGCACTCCTCAGCTCCGGTGGATATGAAAAGCGATGGCTTCTCCGTCAGTGGCAGAGGTCTACGGGATGCAAAGCGGGCTCTACGAAGCCGACTTTGGGAACGCATCTCGGTGTATACCACGAAAATGCATGCTGGTTGCGCGAGCGTCATGCCACGTGACCAGACCGGTAATTTTATCGACCTCATGAGGAGACAGGCCAATGGGGTGACGTGTTCCGTCAAATCGACAGTTCACCTTACTTGAACATATCAGAGACCGATGGTGGACTGTTTCTATAGTTTAATTTAATTTGTTTTTACAACGACGGGAAAGTGCAACGAATTATTGGATGGGGCCACCCTGCCTTAATCCGACTACTCAAGTGTAGAGGCGTGTAACTGTTTATTGACGCTTTCGATAGCATCACACCAGTTTCGTTTAAGCAGACGCCGACCGCCATGGGGCATGACTCAACGTACGTCGTGTACTAACCGATACTATACGTTCTTCTTGAGGACAAGGATGACATGAGATGACATACAAATCGGTTTTACACCGTATTAAGATGCGGACTGAAATTAAAATGGCTCCTGGAAGCGTGACTGGCGACTTTGAACCTGCTCTGATAAGCGCAATATGCGATTAATTGCAAGGTGCTCGAGTGATTGGCTGTTTATTTCAATGGAAACAAGTCATTCGTCGAAAGTTGATAGATGTACGAATTCCAGCAAAACAGATCAAGGCGGCAATGATGCCTGGTGTAATTGATGTACTTACCGTTGTACCAATTGAAGACATTCGGAAAAAGGATTTCATTGGTCACGTCATTGATAACGTCAGTCGACCAACAGAATGAATGAGAAACAATCAGGCTCTATTTTCTGCAAGTTTGATATAAACCGTTCGACCCGGAACATGGAAGTGTGGACGCGTACATTGACAGCTGTGTTTGCCTGCCGAATAGAGCGAAGAACCTTATTGAAAGCTACAATTGTTATCAAACGTCACATTGGAGAATCCCACCCCGAGCTTTTGGTGCTTGTTTCGTAGTTGAAACAGGAGGCTGCTAGATATTTGCAGATGTGCGATGACATATTCATGGAAAGACGTCTCGCACCTGCCCATTCCAATAAAGTGACGCGGTCAGTACATGTGGCATATCTCAATTTTAAAGATCCTGGTACAAACAGCGAAAAACGGCGTCCAAAACAGGGCAAACCGATGCGGAAAATATCTTCCTCGAAAGCAATGCCTCGTCGGAGGTGCGCTGCGACACAGTGAAAAATTTAAATATACAGAAGGTTCCGCTACCGTTTGATTTTAGCTCCAAACTCTACAAAATGTCGAGGAAGCCCATCGCCCTGCACTTCCTAGTCGACTCCACATCCAACGTGTGCAGCCACACGTAAGCGACTCGAAGTGGAAGGCTAAGACAGCCAACACCAAGGCTCGCCGAGCCACTCGAGTCGCAGCTCGTCCCACGCCAACTTCTGCTTCAACACCCCCGTCCAGCCCAACAAGAACATGGCGTCCAGGCTGTTCAACTATCTCAAAGACGCCACGTATCTCAGATACGAGCCGAGTCGAAGGCGGGACGTAGTCAAGCAAGTGCGGCACCCCTCAGCTCTGGTGGATATGAAAAGCGATGGCTTCTCCGTCAGTGGCAGAGGTCTACGGGATGCAAAGCGGGCTCTACGAAGCCGACTTTGGGAATGCATCTCGGTGTATACCACGAAAACGCATACCGGTTGCGCGGTGAGCGTCATGCCACGTGACCAGACCGTTAATTTTATCGACTACATGAGGAGACAGGCCAATGGGTGACGTGTTCCGTCAAATCGAAAGATCACCTTACTTGAACATATCAGAGACCGATGGTGGACTGTTTCTATAGTTTAATTTAATTTGTTTTTACAACGACGGGAAAGTGCAACGAATTATTGGATGGGGCCACCCTGCCTTAATTCGACTACTCAAGTGTAGAGGCGTGTAACTGTTTATTGACGCTTTCGATAGCATCACACCAGTTCGTTTAAGCAGACGCCGACCGCCATGGGGCATGACTCAACGTACGTCGTGTACTAGCCGATACTATACGTTCTTCTTGAGGACAAAGATGACATGAGATGACATACAAATCGGTTTTACACCGTATTAAGATGCGGACTGAAATTAAAATGGCTCCTGGAAGCGTGACTGGCGACTTTGAACCTGCTCTGATTAGCGCAATATGCGATTAATTGCAAGGTGCTCGAGTGATTGGCTGTTTATTTCAATGGAAACAAGTCATTTGTCGAAAGTTGATAGATGTACGAATTCCAGCAAAACAGATCAAGGCGGCAATGATGCCTGGTGTAATTGATATACTTACCGTTGTACCAATTGAAGACATTCGGAAAAAGGAACTTCATTGTCACGTCATTGATAACGTCAGTCGACAAACAGAATGAATGAGAAACAATCGGGCTCTAATTTTTTGCAAGTTTGATATAAACCGCTCGACCCGGAACATGGAAGTGTGGACGCGTATGTTGACAGCTGTGTTTGCCTGCCGAATAGAGCGAAGAACCTTATTGAAAGCTACAATTGTTATCAAACGTCACATTGGAGAATCCCACCCCGAGCTTTTGGTGCTTGTTTCGTAGTTGAAACAGGAGGCTGCTAGATATTTGCAGATGTGCGATGACATATTCATGGGAAGGACGTCTCGCACCTGTCCATTTCAATAAAGTGACGCGGTCAGTACATGTGGCATATCTCAATTTTAAAGATCCTGGTACAAACAGCGAAAAACGGCGTCCAAAACAGGGCAAACCGATGCGAAAAATATCTTCCTCGAAAGCAATGCCTCGTCGGAGGTGCGCTGCGACACAGTGAATAATTATAATATACAGAATGTTCCGCTACCGTTTGCTTTTAGCTCCAAACTCTACAAACGTCGAGGAAGCTCATCGCCTTGCACTTCCTAGTCGACTCCACATCCAACGTGTGCAGCCACACGTAAGCGACTCGCAGTGGAAGGCTAAGACAGCCAACACCAAGGCTCACCGAGCCACTCGAGTCGCAGCTCGTCCCACGCCAATTTCTGCTTCAACACATCCCGTCCAGCCCAACAAGAACATGGCGTCCAGGCTGTTCAACTATCTCAAAGACGCCACGTATCTCAGATATGCGCCGAGTCGAAGGCGCGACGTAGCCAAGCAAATGCGGCACCCCTCAGCTCCGGTGGATATGAAAAGCGATGGCTTCTCCGTCAGTGGCAGAGGTCTACGGGATGCAAAGCGGGCTCTACGCAGCCGACTTTGGGAATGCATCTCGGTGTATACCACGAAAACGCATACCATTTGCGCGGTGAGCGTCATGCCACGTGACCAGACCGGTAATTTTATCGACTTCATGAGGAGACAGGCCAATGTGGTGACGTGTTCCGTCAAATCGAAAGATCACCTTACTTGAACATGTCAGAGACCGATGGTGGACTGTTTCTATAGTTTAATTTAATTTGTTTTTACAACGACGGGAAAGTGCAACAAATTATTGGATGGGGCCACCCTGCCTCAATCCGACTACTCAAGTGTAGAGGCGTGTAACTGTTTATTGACGCTTTCGATAGCATCACACCAGTTTCGTTTAAGCAGACGCCGACCGCCATGGGGCATGACTCAACGTACGTCGTGTACTAACCGATATTATACGTTCTTCTTGAGGACAAGGATGACATGAGATGACATACAAATCGGTTTTACACCGTATTAAGATGCGGACTGAAATTAAAATGGCTCCTGGAAGCGTGACTGGCGACTTTGAACCTGCTCTGATTAGCGCAATATGCGATTAATTGCAAGGTGCTCGAGTGATTGGCTGTTTATTTCAATGGAAACAAGTCATTCGTCGAAAGTTGATAGATGTACGAATTCCAGCAAAACAGATCAAGGCGGCAATGATGCCTGGTGTATTTGATGTACTTACCGTTGTACCAATTGAAGTTATTCGGAAAAAGGATTTCATTGGTCACGTCATTGATAACGTCAGTCGACAAACAGAATGAATGAGAAACAATCTGGCTCTATTTTTTGCAAGTTTGATATAAACCGTTCGACCCGTAACATGGAAGTGTGGACGCGTACATTGACAGCTGTGTTTGCCTGCCGAATAGAGCGAAGAACCTTATTGAAAGCTACAATTGTTATCAAACGTCACATTGGAGAATCCCACCCCGAGCTTTTGGTGCTTGTTTCGTAGTTGAAACAGGAGGCTGCTAGATATTTGCAGATGTGCGATGACATATTCATGGAAAGACGTCTCGCACCTGCCCATTCCAATAGAGTGACGCGGTCAGTACATGTGGCATATCTCAATTTTAAAGATCCTGGTACAAACAGCGAAAAACGGCGTCCAAAACAGGGCAAACCGATGCGGAAAATATCTTCCTCGAAAGCAATGCCTCGTCGGAGGTGCGCTGCGACAAAGTGAATAATTATAATATACAGAATGTTCCGCTACCGTTTGCTTTTAGCTCCAAACTCTACAAAACGTCGAGAAAGCCCATCGCCCTGCACTTCCTAGTCGACTCCACATCCAACGTGTGCAGCCACGCGTAAGCGACTCGAAGTGGAAGGCTAAGACAGCCAACACCAAGGCTCACCGAGCCACTCGAGTCGCAGCTCGTCCCACGCCAACTTCTGCTTCAACACCCCCCGTCCAGCCCAACAAGAACATGGCATCCAGGCTGTTCAACTATCTCAAAGACGCCACGTATCTCAGATACGAGCCGAGTCAAAGGCGCGACGTAGCCAAGCAAGTGCGGCACTCCTCAGCTCCGGTGGATATGAAAAGCGATGGCTTCTCCGTCAGTGGCAGAGGTCTACGGGATGCAAAGCGGGCTCTACGAAGCCGACTTTGGGAATGCATCTCGGTGTATACCACGAAAACGCATACCATTTGCGCGGTGAGCGTCATGCCACGTGACCAGACCGGTAATTTTATCGACTTCATGAGGAGACAGGCCAATGTGGTGACGTGTTCCGTCAAATCGAAAGATCACCTTACTTGAACATGTCAGAGACCGACGGTCGACTGTTTCTATAGTTTAATTTAATTTGTTTTTACAACGACGGAAGAGTGCAACGAATTATTGGATGGGGCCACCCTGCCTCAATCCGACTACTCAAGTGTAGAGGCGTGTAACTGTTTATTGACGCTTTCGATAGCATCACACCAGTTTCGTTTAAGCAGACGCCGACCGCCATGGGGCATGACTCAACGTACGTCGTGTACTAACCGATATTATACGTTCTTCTTGAGGACAAGGATGACATGAGATGACATACAAATCGGTTTTACACCGTATTAAGATGCGGACTGAAATTAAAATGGCTCCTGGAAGCGTGACTGGCGACTTTGAACCTGCTCTGATTAGCGCAATATGCGATTAATTGCAAGGTGCTCGAGTGATTGGCTGTTTATTTTCAATGGAAACAAGTCATTCGTCGAAAGTTGATAGATGTACGAATTCCAGCAAAACAGATCAAGGCGGCAATGATGCCTGGTGTAATTGATGTACTTACCCTTGTACCAATTGAAGACATTCGGAAAAAGGATTTCATTGGTCACGTCATTGGTAACGTCAGTCGACAAACAGAATGAATGAGAAACAATCTGGCTCTATTTTTTGCAAGTTTGATATAAACCGTTCGACCCGGAACATGGAAGTGTGGACGCATATGTTGACAGCTGTGTTTGCCTGCCGAATAGAGCGAAGAACCTTATTGAAAGCTACAATTGTTATCAAACGTCACATTGGAGAATCCCACCCCGAGCTTTTGGTGCTTGTTTCGTAGTTGAAACAGGAGGCTGCTAGATATTTGCAGATGTGCGATGACATATTCATGGAAAGACGTCTCGCACCTGCCCATTCCAATAAAGTGACGCGGTCAGTACATGTGGCATATCCCAATTTTTAAGACCCTGGTACAAACAGCGAAAAACGGCGTCCAAAACAGGGCAAACCGATGCGGAAAATATCTTCCTCGAAAGCAATGCCTCGTCGGAGGTGCGCTGCGACAAAGTGAATAATTATAATATACAGAATGTTCCGCTACCGTTTGCTTTTAGCTCCAAACTCTACAAAACGTCGAGAAAGCCCATCGCCCTGCACTTCCTAGTCGACTCCACATCCAACGTGTGCAGCCACACGTAAGCGACTCGAAGTGGAAGGCTAAGACAGCCAACACCAAGGCTCGCCGAGCCACTCGAGTCGCAGCTCGTCCCACGCCAACTTCTGCTTCAACACACCCCGTCCAGCCCAACAAGAACATGGCATCCAGGCTGTTCAACTATCTCAAAGACGCCACGTATCTCAGATACGAGCCGAGTCGAAGGCGCGACGTAGCCAAGCAAGTGCGGCACCCCTCAGCTCCGGTGGATATGAAAAGCGATGGCTTCTCCGTCAGTGGCAGAGGTCTACGGGATGCAAAGCTCTACGAAGCCGACTTTGGGAATGCATCTCGGTGTATACCACGAAAACGCATACCGGTTGCGCGGTGAGCGTCATGCCACGTGACCAGACCGTTAATTTTATCGACTACATGAGGAGACAGGACAATGGGGTGACGTGTTCCGTCAAATCGAAAGATCACCTTACTTGAACATATCAGAGACCGATGGTCGACTGTTTCTATAGTTTAATTTAATTTGAATTTACAACGACGGGAAAGTGCAACGAATTATTGGATGGGGCCACCCTGCCTTAATCCGACTACTCAAGTGTAGAGGCGTGTAACTGTTTATTGACGCTTTCGATAGCATCACACCAGTTTCGTTTAAGCAGACGCCGACCGCCATGGGGCATGACTCAACGTACGTCGTGTACTAACCGATACTATACGTTCTACTTGAGGACAAGGATGACATGAGATGACATACAAATCGGTTTTACACCGTATTAAGATGCGGACTGAAATTAAAATGGCTCCTGGAAGCGTGACTGGCGACTTTGAACCTGCTCTGATTAGCGCAATATGCGATTAATTGCAAGGTGCTCGAGTGATTGGCTGTTTATTTCAATGGAAACAAGTCATTTGTCGAAAGTTGATAGATGTACGAATTCCAGCAAAACAGATCAAGGCGGCAATGATGCCTGGTGTAATTGATATACTTACCGTTGTACCAATTGAAGCCATTCGGAAAAAGGATTTCATTGGTCACGTCATTGATAACGTCAGTCGACCAACAGAATGAATGAGAAACAATCTGGCTCTATTTTTTGCAAGTTTGATATAAACCGTTCGACCCGGAACATGGAAGTGTGGACGCGTACATTGACAGCGGTGTTTACCTGCCGAATAGAGCGAACAACCTTATTGAAAGCTACAATTGTTATCAAACGTCACATTGGAGAATCCCACCCCGAGCTTTTGGTGCTTGTTTCGTAGTTGGAACAGGAGGCTGCTAGATATTTGCAGATGTGCGATGACATATTCATGGAAAGACGTCTCGCACCTGCCCATTCCAATAGAGTGACGCGGTCAGTACATGTGGCATATCTCAATTTTAAAGATCCTGGTACAAACAGCGAAAAACGGCGTCCAAAACAGGGCAAACCGATGCGGAAAATATCTTCCTCGAAAGCAATGCCTCGTCGGAGGTGCGCTGCGACAAAGTGAATAATTATAATATACAGAATGTTCCGCTACCGTTTGCTTTTAGCTCCAAACTCTACAAAACGTCGAGAAAGCCCATCGCCCTGCACTTCCTAGTCGACTCCACATCCAACGTGTGCAGCCACACGTAAGCGACTCGAAGTGGAAGGCTAAGACAGCCAACACCAAGGCTCGCCGAGCCACTCGAGTCGCAGCTCGTCCCACGCCAACTTCTGCTTCAACACACCCCGTCCAGCCCAACAAGAACATGGCATCCAGGCTGTTCAACTATCTCAAAGACGCCACGTATCTCAGATACGAGCCGAGTCGAAGGCGCGACGTAGCCAAGCAAGTGCGGCACCCCTCAGCTCCGGTGGATATGAAAAGCGATGGCTTCTCCGTCAGTGGCAGAGGTCTACGGGATGCAAAGCGGGCTCTACGAAGCCGACTTTGGGAATGCATCTCGGTGTATACCACGAAAACGCATGCCGGTTGCGCGGTGAGCGTCATGCCACGTGACCAGACCGTTTATTTTATCGACTACATGAGGAGACAGGCCAATGGGGTGACGTGTTCCGTCAAATCGAAAGATCACCTTACTTGAACATATCAGAGACCGATGGTCGACTGTTTCTATAGTTTAATTTAATTTGTTTTTACAACGACGGGAAAGTGCAACGAATTATTGGATGGGGCCACCCTGCCTTAATCCGACTACTCAAGTGTAGAGGCGTGTAACTGTTTATTGACGCTTTCGATAGCATCACACCAGTTTCGTTTAAGCAGACGCCGACCGCCATGGGGCATGACTCAACGTACGTCGTGTACTAACCGATACTATACGTTCTTCTTGAGGACAAGGATGACATGAGATGACATACAAATCGGTTTTACACCGTATTAAGATGCGGACTGAAATTAAAATGGCTCCTGGAAGCGTGACTGGCGACTTTGAACCTGCTCTAATTAGCGCAATATGCGATTAATTGCAAGGTGCTCGAGTGATTGGCTGTTTATTTCAATGGAAACAAGTCATTCGTCGAAAGTTGATAGATGTACGAATTCCAGCAAAACAGATCAAGGCGGCAATGATGCCTGGTGTAATTGATGTACTTACCGTTGTACCAATTGAAGACATTCGGAAAAAGGATTTCATTGGTCACGTCATTGATAACGTCAGTCGACCAACAGAATGAATGAGAAACAATCAGGCTCTATTTTCTGCAAGTTTGATATAAACCGTTCGACCCGTAACATGGAAGTGTGGACGCGTACATTGACAGCGGTGTTTACCTGCCGAATAGAGCGAACAACCTTATTGAAAGCTACAATTGTTATCAAACGTCACATTGGAGAATCCCACCCCGAGCTTTTGGTGCTTGTTTCGTAGTTGAAACAGGAGGCTGCTAGATATTTGCAGATGTGCGATGACATATTCATGGAAAGACGTCTCGCACCTGCCCATTCCAATAGAGTGACGCGGTCAGTACATGTGGCATATCTCAATTTTAAAGATCCTGGTACAAACAGCGAAAAACGGCGTCCAAAACAGGGCAAACCGATGCGGAAAATATCTTCCTCGAAAGCAATGCCTCGTCGGAGGTGCGCTGCGACAAAGTGAATAATTATAATATACAGAATGTTCCGCTACCGTTTGCTTTTAGCTCCAAACTCTACAAAACGTCGAGAAAGCCCATCGCCCTGCACTTCCTAGTCGACTCCACATCCAACGTGTGCAGCCACACGTAAGCGACTCGAAGTGGAAGGCTAAGACAGCCAACACCAAGGCTCGCCGAGCCACTCGAGTCGCAGCTCGTCCCACGCCAACTTCTGCTTCAACACACCCCGTCCAGCCCAACAAGAACATGGCGTCCAGGCTGTTCAACTATCTCAAAGACGCCACGTATCTCAGATATGAGCCGAGTCGAAGGCGCGACGTAGCCAAGCAAGTGCGGCACCCCTCAGCTCCGGTGGATATGAAAAGCGATGGCTTCTCCGTCAGTGGCAGAGGTCTACGGGATGCAAAGGGGGCTCTACGAAGCCGACTTTGGGAATGCATCTCGGTGTATACCACGAAAACGCATACCATTTGCGCGGTGAGCGTCATGCCACGTGACCAGACCGGTAATTTTATCGACTTCATGAGGAGACAGGCCAATGTGGTGACGTGTTCCGTCAAATCGAAAGATCACCTTACTTGAACATGTCAGAGACCGATGGTCGACTGTTTCTATAGTTTAATTTAATTTGTTTTTACAACGACGGGAAAGTGCAACGAATTATTGGATGGGGCCACCCTGCCTTAATCCGACTACTCAAGTGTAGAGGCGTGTAACTGTTTATTGACGCTTTCGATAGCATCACGCCAGTTTCGTTTAAGCAGACGCCGACCGCCATGGGGCATGACTCAACGTACGTCGTGTACTAACCGATATTATACGTTCTTCTTGAGGACAAGGATGACATGAGATGACATACAAATCGGTTTTACACCGTATTAAGATGCGGACTGAAATTAAAATGGCTCCTGGAAGCGTGACTGGCGACTTTGAACCTGCTCTGATTAGCGCAATATGCGATTAATTGCAAGGTGCTCGAGTGATTGGCTGTTTATTTTAATGGAAACAATTCATTCGTCGAAAGTTGATAGATGTACGAATTCCAGCAAAACAGATCAAGGCGGCAATGATGCCTGGTGTAATTGATGTACTTAGCGTTGTACCAATTGAAGACATTCGGAAAAAGGATTTCATTGGTCACGTCATTGATAACGTCAGTCGACAAACAGAATGAATGAGAAACAATCTGGCTCTATTTTTTGCAAGTTTGATATAAACCGTTCGACCCGTAACATGGAAGTGTGGACGCGTACATTGACAGCGGTGTTTACCTGCCGAATAGAGCGAACAACCTTATTGAAAGCTACAATTGTTATCAAACGTCACATTGGAGAATCCCACCCCGAGCTTTTGGTGCTTGTTTCGTAGTTGAAACAGGAGGCTGCTAGATATTTGCAGATGTGCGATGACATATTCATGGAAAGACGACTCGCACCTGTCCATTCCAATAAAGTGACGCGGTCAGTACATGTGGCATATCTCAATTTTAAAGATCCTGGTACAAACAGCGAAAAACGGCGTCCAAAACAGGGCAAACCGATGCGGAAAATATCTTCCTCGAAAGCAATGCCTCGTCGGAGGTGCGCGGCGACAAAGTGATCAATTAAAATATACAGAATGTTCCGCTACCGTTTGATTTTAGCTCCAAACTCTACAAAACGTCGAGGAAGCCCATCGCCCTGCACTTCCTAGTCGACTCCACATCCAACGTGTGCAGCCACGCGTAAGCGACTCGAAGTGGAAGGCTAAGACAGCCAACACCAAGGCTCACCGAGCCACTCGAGTCGCAGCTCGTCCCACGCCAACTTCTGCTTCAACACTCCCGTCCAGCCCAACAAGAACATGGCGTCCAGGGCTGTTCAACTATTCTCAAAGACGCCACGTATCTCAGATACGAGCCGAGTCAAGGCGCGACGTAGCCAAGCAAGTGCGGCACTCCTCAGCTCCGGTGGATATGAAAAGCGATGGCTTCTCCGTCAGTGGCAGAGGTCTACGGGATGCAAAGCGGGCTCTACGAAGCCGACTTTGGGAGCGCATCTCGGTGTATACCACGAAAACGCATGCCGGTTGCGCGTGGAGCGTCATGCCACGTGACCCGACCGTTAATTTTATCGACTACATGAGGAGACAGGCCAATGGGGTGACGTGTTCCGTCAAATCGAAAGATCACCTTACTTGAACATATCAGAGACCGATGGTGGACTGTTTCTATAGTTTAATTTAATTTGTTTTTACAACGACGGGAAAGTGCAACGAATTATTGGATGGGGCCACCCTGCCTTAATCCGACTACTCAAGTGTAGAGGCGTGTAACTGTTTATTGACGCTTTCGATAGCATCACACCAGTTTCGTTTAAGCAGACGCTGACCGCCATGGGGCATGACTCAACGTACGTCGTGTACTAACCGATACTATACGTTCTTCTTGAGGACAAGAATGACATGAGATGACATACAAATCGGTTTTACACCGTATTAAGATGCGGACTGAAATTAAAATGGCTCCTGGAAGCGTGACTGGCGACTTTGAACCTGCTCTGATAAGCGCAATATGCGATTAATTGCAAGGTGCTCGAGTGATTGGCTGTTTATTTCAATGGAAACAAGTCATTCGTCGAAAGTTGATAGATGTACGAATTCCAGCAAAACAGATCAAGGCGGCAATGATGCCTGGTGTAATTGATGTACTTACCGTTGTACCAATTGAAGACATTCGGAAAAAGGATTTCATTGGTCACGTCATTGATAACGTCAGTCGACCAACAGAATGAATGAGAAACAATCAGGCTCTATTTTCTGCAAGTTTGATATAAACCGTTCGACCCGGAACATGGAAGTGTGGACGCGTACATTGACAGCTGTGTTTACCTGCCGAATAGAGCGAACAACCTTATTGAAAGCTACAATTGTTATCAAACGTCACATTGGAGAATCCCACCCCGAGCTTTTGGTGCTTGTTTCGTAGTTGAAACAGGAGGCTGCTAGATATTTGCAGATGTGCGATGACATATTCATGGAAAGACGTCTCGCACCTGTCCATTCCAATAAAGTGACGCGGTCAGTACATGTGGCATATCCCAATTTTTAAGACCCTGGTACAAACAGCGAAAAACGGCGTCCAGAACAGGGCAAACCGATGCGGAAAATATCTTCCTCGAAAGCAATGCCTCGTCGGAGGTGCGCGGCGACAAAGTGATCAATTAAAATATGCAGAATATTCCGCTACCGTTTGATTTTAGCTCCAAACTCTACAAAACGTCGAGGAAGCCCATCGCCCTGCACTTCCTAGTCGACTCCACATCCAACGTGTGCAGCCACGCGTAAGCGACTCGAAGTGGAAGGCTAAGACAGCCAACACCAAGGCTCACCGAGCCACTCGAGTCGCAGCTCGTCCCACGCCAACTTCTGCTTCAACACACCCCGTCCAGCCCAACAAGAACATGGCATCCAGGCTGTTCAACTATCTCAAAGACGCCACGTATCTCAGATACGAGCCGAGTCAAAGGCGCGACGTAGCCAAGCAAGTGCGGCACTCCTCAGCTCCGGTGGATATGAAAAGCGATGGCTTCTCCGTCAGTGGCAGAGGTCTACGGGATGCAAAGCGGGCTCTACGAAGCCGACTTTGGGAATGCATCTCGGTGTATACCACGAAAATGCATGCTGGTTGCGCGAGCGTCATGCCACGTGACCAGACCGGTAATTTTATCGACTTCATGAGGAGACAGGCCAATGGGGTGACGTGTTCCGTCAAATCGAAAGATCACCTTACTTGAACATATCAGAGACCGATGGTGGACTGTTTCTATAGTTTAATTTAATTTGTTTTTACAACGACGGGAAAGTGCAACGAATTATTGGATGGGGCCACCCTGCCTTAATCCGACTACTCAAGTGTAGAGGCGTGTAACTGTTTATTGACGCTTTCGATAGCATCACACCAGTTTCGTTTAAGCAGACGCCGACCGCCATGGGGCATGACTCAACGTACGTCGTGTACTAACCGATATTATACGTTCTTCTTGAGGACAAGGATGACATGAGATGACATACAAATCGGTTTTACACCGTATTAAGATGCGGACTGAAATTAAAATGGCTCCTGGAAGCGTGACTGGCGACTTTGAACCTGCTCTGGTTAGCGCAATATGCGATTAATTGCAAGGTGCTCGAGTGATTGGCTGTTTATTTCAATGGAAACAAGTCATTTGTCGAAAGTTGATAGATGTACGAATTCCAGCAAAACAGATCAAGGCGGCAATGATGCCTGGTGTAATTGATTTACTTACCGTTGTACCAATTGAAGACATTCGGAAAAAGGATTTCATTGGTCACGTCATTGGTAACGTCAGTCGACAAACAGAATGAATGAGAAACAATCTGGCTCTATTTTTTGCAAGTTTGATATAAACCGTTCGACCCGGAACATGGAAGTGTGGACGCGTACATTGACAGCGGTGTTTACCTGCCGAATAGAGCGAACAACCTTATTGAAAGCTACAATTGTTATCAAACGTCACATTGGAGAATCCCACCCCGAGCTTTTGGTGCTTGTTTCGTAGTTGAAACAGGAGGCTGCTAGATATTTGCAGATGTGCGATGACATATTCATGGAAAGACGTCTCGCACCTGTCCATTCCAATAGAGTGAAGCGGTCAGTACATGTGGCATATCTCAATTTTTAAGACCCTGGTACAAACAGCGAAAAACGGCGTCCAGAACAGGGCAAACCGATGCGGAAAATATCTTCCTCGAAAGCAATGCCTCGTCGGAGGTGCGCGGCGACAAAGTGATCAATTAAAATATACAGAATGTTCCGCTACCGTTTGATTTTAGCTCCAAACTCTACAAAACGTCGAGGAAGCCCATCGCCCTGCACTTCCTAGTCGACTCCACATCCAACGTGTGCAGCCACACGTAAGCGACTCGAAGTGGAAGGCTAAGACATTCAACACCAAGGCTCACCGAGCCACTCGAGTCGCAGCTCGTCCCACGCCAACTTCTGCTTCAACACACCCCGTCCAGCCCAACAAGAACATGGCATCCAGGCTGTTCAGCTATCTCAAAGACGCCACGTATCTCAGATACGAGCCGAGTCAAAGGCGCGACGTAGCCAAGCAAGTGCGGCACTCCTCAGCTCCGGTGGATATGAAAAGCGATGGCTTCTCCGTCAGTGGCAGAGGTCTACGGGATGCAAAGCGGGCTCTACGAAGCCGACTTTGGGAATGCATCTCGGTGTATACCACGAAAATGCATGCTGGTTGCGCGAGCGTCATGCCACGTGACCAGACCGGTAATTTTATCGACTTCATGAGGAGACAGGCCAATGGGGTGACGTGTTCCGTCAAATCGAAAGATCACCTTACTTGAACATATCAGAGACCGATGGTCGACATTGGCCTGTCTCCTCATGTAGTCGATAAAATTAACGGTCTGGCCACGTGGCATGACGCTCACCGCGCAACCGGCATGCGTTTTCGTGGTATACACCGAGATGCGTTCCCAAAGTCGGCTTCGTAGAGCCCGCTTTGCATCCCGTAGACCTCTGCCACTGACGGAGAAGCCATCGCTTTTCATATCCACCGGAGCTGAGGGGTGCCGCACTTGCTTGGCTACGTCGCTCCTTCGACTCGGCGCATATCTGAGATACGTGGCGTCTTTGAGATAGTTGAACAGCCTGGACGCCATGTTCTTGTTGGGCTAGACGGGGTGTGTTGAAGCAAAGTTGGCGTGGGACGAGCTGCGACTCGAGTGGCTCGGTGAGCCTTGGTGTTGGCTGTCTTAGCCTTCCACTTCGAGTCGCTTACGCGTGGCTGCACACGTTGGATGTGGAGTCGACTAGGAAGTGCAGGGCGATGGGCTTCCTCGACGTTTTGTAGAGTTTGGAGCTAAAATCAAACGGTAGCGGAACATTCTGTATATTTAAATTGATCACTTTGTCGCCGCGCACCTCCGACGAGGCATTGCTTTCGAGGAAGATATTTTCCGCATCGGTTTGCCCTGTTCTGGACGCCGTTTTTCGCTGTTTGTACCAGGATCTTAAAAATTGAGATATGCCACATGTACTGACCGCTTCACTTTATTGGAATGGGCAGGTGCGAGACGTCTTTCCATGAATATGTCATCGCACATCTGCAAATATCTAGCAGCCTCCTGTTTCAACTACGAAACAAGCACCAAAAGATCGGGGTGGGATTCTCCAATGTGACGTTTGATAACAATTGTAGCTTTCAATAAGGTTCTTCGCTCTATTCGGCAGGTAAACACCGCTGTCAATGTACGCGTCCACACTTCCATGTTCCGGGTCGAACGGTTTATATCAAACTTGCAAAAAATAGAGCCAGATTGTTTCTCATTCATTCTGTTGGTCGACTGACGTTATCAATGACGTGACCAATGAAATCCTTTTTCCGAATGTCTTCAATTGGTACAAGGGTAAGTACATCAATTACACCAGGCATCATTGCCGCCTTGATCTGTTTTGCTGGAATTCGTACATCTATCAACTTTCGACGAATGACTTGTTTCCATTAAAATAAACAGCCAATCACTCGAGCACCTTGCAATTAATCGCATATTGCGCTAATCAGAGCAGGTTCAAAGTCGCCAGTCACGCTTCCAGGAGCCATTTTAATTTCAGTCCGCATCTTAATACGGTGTAAAACCGATTTGTATGTCATCTCATGTCATCCTTGTCCTCAAGAAAAACGTATAGTATCGGTTAGTACACGACGTACGCTGAGTCATGCCCTATGGCGGTCAGCGTCTGCTTAAACGGAACCGGACTGTGCCGAATTTATGTTATCCAGCTATTTGTAGGAAATTGTTTGATTGCGTTGAATTGTGGTACCTAATTTGCTAATATTTTATTATATTTTATGTACATGTACACGCTCCTTCCATCTTTTTTTATTGCCCATTTCTTCGGCTCTGGCAGTCAATTTATCAGAAATTACATTCTGTCCGTCGCTGCACTTGACACGTATGAAGACCTGACAGCTTCGTACAGCCGTCGGTGACAATGAGTGTGCGTTGCACAGAGTTGATCTGTACCTCAAACATTGGTAGTAAACGGTGTAATCCTTTTTGTGTCCATATATAGTACCTGAAGCCGTTGTGAAACATCGTAGAGCAAGCGTCTTAAAGTTGGAATATATTAGCAATGAAGCTGTCGTGGTTCATGAAAGTAAGAGAGGACAATTACGTCTCTCGGTCCGCAAGTAGAGTTCTAAAAATGTTCTCAAGTATGTTATACCTTGCTGTAACGCGTTATGTATCAGGTAATATACCAAGATTGAGCTCCTGGAACTGTACCCCGAAAAATTGGAAGATGCCATTTGATACAGACGTACTTTACGTATCATTTTTGGTCTTTATAAGTAAACCATCTGCGTCGATTGTAACATGATAAGCGGTGAGGCTTCGGCGCCCAATTGAACATCCTCTCTGGGCATTACCGGATCCAACAATATTAGCTATGAAAGTAGAACGAATTTGTCGGTGCCAAAAAAAACATTTGGTAAGGCATTCCGAAATTTAATTTGGTATTAACTAAATCCAGATATATACCATCTTGGAACCGTACTGTACGTTTCACCTAATATTTACCATCCTAAAATAACGTCAACCTTTCACACTCTGGTGTGATGTTGTATGTAAGCTTATAAATGTTATAATTCCCCATAAGGAAGCCGAAAGCTTATTTAGGTTTCTTGCGGATACGCTTCCAGACTTCAAGAATACATGTTTGGTGTACTGATTTTTTTTTAGTTCATTTGAAGGACAAATTACATGTATGTAAGGATCATATGTAGGACACAGCTGCAGGGCATATTGTCGAAAGTAGGACCGTTTTTCAGACTGCATTCAAAGTACGTGTCTTTTTAGCTAATTACACAGATAGCGAAACTCAAAGCGGGTTAGGTAGGTCATTCCTGTACGTGTTTTCGCTCGTGAGGAAAAATGCCACGTCGGGTCTCGCTTTGCTTATTTACAGCTAGCATCTCAGCACATGGAATTCGGAATTAGCACCAAGTAGGTCTTGGTTGCTCCATCCGTCTGTAACGGGACAGGTATTTACTCCGTTACTTGCTTACACTATAGTGTTGAGGAAGCTCGCAATAGGACGACTGAGTCTTAGGTTTAAGGAAAAATCAACTCTGACTTTATTTTAGGACCAAGGCCACAGCCCTGGCCACTCAAATACACGTCATAGTCCAATTGGCTAATAATGGGCCTGACTCCCCATATATCAGCCAATGGCATGACAGCATTTCAGCACACGCTAGTCGTGTGCTGATGCACCTACTTTTGTAAAGAAATCTACCTACTTATGTAATGGAGGGGCCCATTACATTACCCCCCCTCTTAAAGTTGCACTTACGCAACATAAGCAGTGGGCGAAGAACAAATCAATCTGCGTGAGGATGGCGAACGGGGACTTGGCTAACGGGCGGAGCGAAACAGAGACGGAGACATCTCCTGCGAAGCGCAGGAGCGACATAACTTGACTTGCGGAGAAGACGACGAACAGCACGATGGATCAACAGCGGACGGGGACACCGACGACGGCGACGTCGTCGACCGCAGCGGCACGGGGCACGCGCGTGATGGACGACCAGCTCCGGGCATGGGCTCTCTATGACATATCCGGAGCGCGGGCTCCGGACACACTGGACACGATGAAGGATCACTTCCGGCGCTTCCGAGGACTGCGTCAGAAGCCTGTCGAGGGTGTCGCATATGGCGCATGGCAGGAGTCGTGGTGCGCCTTCATCCGGCGTTGGAACCGGACGCAGGAAGAAGGGGAGAGCTTCGTCGGCTGGCTGGTGTACCGCGAGGAGATCGTCAAGGAGCACTCGCTCACGGAGCTCCGTGAGCGCGTCTGCACCAGCGCATGGGAGGACATGCGCCGCATCTGCTACGTGAGGGTCGCTGAAGGTTGTGGCACTTGTACTGGATCGCGTCCGACTGTCGAGGAGTGGAGAAGCCACATCGCCGAGTATCCGCTCGGTGAAAAAGACACGGGTGGATCGAGAAGTATCGTCGCTCGTTGGCCGAGAACGTGCGCGCCTCTAATCGCGCCGGCTCACGCCGACGCCCTGCACGTGAAGATTCTTGGCATCGGACTCGGGCTCGTTCGCGCGGCGCTCAAGTCGTCGTCTCGATTCCGGTCGCGTGATCGCACCAATGCAGAAGATCATGGCTCCCGTTTACGAGGTTCGACAAAGACAGCGGCAGCGATTCCCGACTGCCATGAATCTTCGACTTCGCTCTTCTCCCGTGTCACCTGGCTCGGTGACTCGAGATCGAGTTGTAGAGAGTGACGTGTATTGATTCTTCAGGCAGTCAATTTTTACCTTTGTTCTCTTAGCTGTATGATCAAGACGAAGGCT